TGGTGACACATGTTCAGTGATTGGCGCCACCCGGCGGACAGATTGGAAATGAACATTTGGAATAGGGTGGGGAATTGTCCGCTGAGCAGAGGTTGTATCTGTTCGGGTGGAGCTGCTCTAAAGGTGTTTGGATGGCCGGCTCTGTGAAAGGAGATTGGTCTGTGTGTGCTGTGCAGTATGAAAGGACAATATATTTTAAGCCCTGGTTCATATGTGTGGGCAATGCTGAGATCCCTGTGTGTTATGGATGCACCAAAATTTCAGCCGACAAAAATTGCCCTATTGGCATTTTGGCGATAGGAAAAATGTAGCCGATAGAGGTTCCGATACAGAGGACTATGTACTGCAGAGGTAGTGGGGGGCAGAGAAAGGCAGGAGAGGAGCAATGTATACACTGGCTGTCACTATATTGTCACTACTGGTTTTTAAATACAATTGCTGAGTTTTTTTGTTTCACTATAGCTCAGAGAATCGGCGGTTAGTTTCCGCAGCTGAAGGAAACGGTTACTTTCATTCTCTGTGCTACGGTGAAGGGAAAAAAAAAGCTGGCAATTGCATTTAAAAACTGGCACTGACACATAGGGGTTTATTTACTAAACCTGGTTGACTCAGAATCTTGTCCACTTCTGCATAAAAACCAATCGGCTTCCAGGTTTTATTGCTGAAGCTTAACTGAACATGCTGAGGTTAGAAGCTGATTGGCTACCATGCCCAGGTGCCCAAGATTCTGAGTCAACCAGGTTTAGTAAATAAACCCCCCCAGTGACAGCCAGTGAGGAAGCCTCTCTGTATACGCTGCTACCTCATTGTATTCACTGCTCCTCTCCTGCCCTCTCTTTGCACACACTGCCCCCTCTCCCCCCTACAAAGGTGGCCTGTCACTCATATGCTATCAAATAGGGGAACATTGCTCCCTATGTGATAGCAATAAAATCCAAAATTAAAATATACATGAAAGGTAGAAAAAAATACAAAAACATATACACAGACATTTTGGTTCGGTTTTCGGCCACATGCTTTCTGAATTATCGGCTTCGGCACCAGAATTTTTATTTCGGTGCACCACCACTGTGCGTTTCCCTCGCTGTATTGCAATCACACTGTGATCCACTGCTATGTCAATATAAAGTTAAGACATCCCAAACACCTCACAATTGCAGTTTGGTTTGCTCACTCTGGATCATATGGTACAAAATGACCGGGTGGTGCGACTCCAAAAAAAAGGTGCTTGTGCTCCTTTAGTGCCGTTTAAGCCCATTCAGAATGAGCTGGCTTGAATTGCACAGGCATGCAGTGCGATTAACGTGCAGTTCATGGTGTGAACCTAGGCTTAAAATGAAACTATACTTGCCTTGGATCCAGCGAGGACCTTCTTGGTCAGGCAGCGTCTTGGTCATAGGGCACTGTCATTGGATGGGCAGGGATGAGATCACTCCTGCCTTAGTACTTGGCATTACCTAATTTGTACAGTAAGCTATGCTCTCACAGCTCACTGTACAAGGGCAGGCAGATGAGTAACCCTCCATTTACATAGCTGTGAATTCTGATTTGGTTTGAATCACGCAGATTTGCATGGCGTGAGTTAAAATGCTTTTCTGCGGAGGCCGTTCACATATATGCGGGTCAGCCACAGTGCAATTTTTGAAAAGGGGTGCTGTGTAATTGTGTCATGCGGGTGCAATTTCCTGCCTCATGCACTTTAACAATTCGCATTACGAATTACACCTGCATCGTTGAACAGAATCGCATCGCATGTGGCTCGCATATGTGAACCCAATGTAATACAGAAGAGACATGGCATGTCTCCACTGCATTAAGAATGCTACCTGTTCTTTTTTTTTTTTTACTTTTGCTAAAGTTCCACAATTTAACCGTTAAAAAAAAACAGCTTTTCCGTTCTGTTCCAGGAATGTTAACGGTCAGATTTGCTTGTGCTCTCAAACTTTAATGGCTGGAGTCATAACTGATCACATGTGCAGCACAAGGCAGTTGCAGATCAAACAGAAGCTAAGATGGCAGTTTTCTTGGCTGAAAATGATAGGAGGGTTTAGTTCCTCTTTAACCACTAGCCGCCCAGCCACTGTATAAAAACGGTGGCAGGGCGGCACGGCTGGGCAAAAGCACGTTTTAAAACGTGCTGTTTCAAAACAGGTAGGGGGGGCGCCGCCACCCTACCTTCACCGCCGATCTCAGCCGCAGCGGGTGTCAGTCGCTGGGTACCAGCTGTGACTCGGCGATTAGCGGCAATCAGTGACAGAGAGCAGGGCTGCAGTAACTCTGCTTTCTGTCAGGTGACCCCTGACAAGCTGACCAGGAGAAAAGAGTTTCTCTGTCAGGATCAGCATGTCTCCCTGCAGTACACACCCCCGCCCCCTAGTAAAACACTCCCCTCACATAGTTAACCCTTTCAGTGCAAAAAAAAAGTTAATCCCTTCCTCCCCAGTGCCATTAGTAGTGTCAGTGTTTTGTTTTTTTTTTTTGCACTGATCACTGTATTTACATTTGTGTGTAAAAACCCATGGTGCCGGAGAATCCACATTTCCGATGCGTGGGTATGCATTAAAGAGTTAACAGCACCCCCCAGCAGCATGTAAAGAACAGCATGTTTTGCCTGCAAATTGGCAATTGTCAACCTAGCCTACAGGGTCACTTACATTATTTGCGGTAACCTGGTCTTCTGCACTGGATAAATACAGGTCACTGTTGGGGCACACGGAAAACAATTCCTTTCTGTATGTCAAATTCACGCCACAATGCTGGTATGATGTACGGTACTGGAAAACTAGTTTGTCTGCATTTTTCACATCACACTTGATGGCACAGCAGCAAAGCCAATCACGTCGCTGTACAGCGACGTGAAGTATTACTTCAAATAAAATGGTTTTATATGTGGTGTGGTGAATGGTGCAGCTCGGTGCTGGAGCTGACACTGCACTAACCTGTATGGGTAAATGTTTATCATGCGGGTTAGTGTGAATGTTGCTTTGCTGTGCACTGCAGCCCAAGATTGACTGGCAGCACACTGTGTACATAAAGTGAGTTTTCCCGCATGACCTCACTGTAGAACTGAAGGCAAAACGTTTAGCGTGGAGATGGTTTAGAACACGTGTTAGGTGTTTGTTGCGGTCTTGTGTCCTCGTTATGGAAATTCATCCTATTTGTGCTGGTGACTGATCGTCAAAAGTGAAAGAAAATCCCAAGTTTTGGATTGTCACCGGAAGAGGAATAGAGAGGAAATCTTCCAGTGGAGACACTAGTTCTGGCGACATCCAAGGGTTTCCTCACTTTAGGGGAGATTTCCTCTCTCTTCCTATTTTACTTATGAGACTTGAAGTGAAGGGAAATCAGCCAAATAGTACACAAATTGGGAAAACAAAACTGCTAGGGATTATAACCCTCCCTACTCAATCCAAAAAGAAAGTGTTACCTTTATTTTTACTTAAGGTTTCTGGTAGTTATATGACATCTTATCCTCGTTTAAGGCAAGTGATGTGGTTTTATAGCACAAACAGTAGACAGGGTATGTGGGTAAGTGACTACAGACAGGTGGTGTTTTTTATTTTAGGGACAAATTAACTTTACAACCTCTATAATCACACCAGGGAGGGTTGTAACCCGTTAGATTTTTTTTTTTCTTTTTTTTTTTCTCCATCTTTGCCCCCTTGCAGAGATTTCCCTTTGCTTCCTGTCCCATGGCTAAATAAGATGCGAGAGGAAATCCCTGCAAATTAAGGAAATTCCTTGGGGACCCCAAGATCACCAGAACTAGTGTCCCCACTGGAAGATTTCTCCTCTTGACTTCTGGGGACAACCCAAAATATATTTTTTAGTTTCACTTTCAATGATAATGGTAAACAGAACAATTAGAGGGGGTGCATCTCCCTAACGGGTTGTAATCCCTCTGTGCTCTATCCCAAAACTGAAAAAAGTTTCCTTTAGTTATTCTTTAAGAGATGAGCCAGAATGTGTAGAGGGTGATATGAATGTAAACCTGTTGCCTTACCCTGGATAGGTTTTATTACCGCTTTACTTTAAAGCGGAGTTCCACTTACTCTGTAAAATAAGTCTGCAGCTACAAAAACTGTAGCTGCTGACTTTTAAAAAAAAAAAAAAAAAAAACCAGCCACTCACCTGTCCCACTATCCTGCTTTGCCCCCTACAGCAGCCAGTTTCATCGGCCGTCCTGTATTCCAGGTACCGGCATCTTCAGTGGGCACCCAGGTGTGACAGCTTGTGGCTTCACAGCCGGGTACCCACTGTGCATGATCGAGTAGTGCTGCGCTTCCTGAATGACCCTGCCGTCTTCTGGGACCTGTCACGTGCCCCACAAGACTTCCGGGAGGGAGGGTAGGAGGACAACTTCCGTTTCTGATCGCCTAGGCGATGGAAGTGGGAGCGAGTACCTGTCAAATTTGGGTACCTGCTCCCCAAAGGTGCCAATCCTTAATGGGGAGCTGGGGACCAATCTTTACAACAGAACTTCCCCTTTTGGAGAAACTCCGCTTAAATATTTGCTTTAGGTTAAAATAAGTCTCTGTTCACCAGATTTAGCGAATTTAGAGTCTGCATATTTCTGCAAACAGTACACTGGTGCAGTCAGTCAGTTATCAGTTCTGTGGGCGTTATCAACATCTGGTTATCTTCAGGAAAAGAGCATGATGCCAGTATTGCAGACTTTATAACCAAAGATCTCGATCAGGAAGACAAGTGTAAAATACTGTATATAATTGCCTTTTATAGGATATTAGGATTGATTGGAGTAATTGCAGTAGTCATATTTTTTCCACGGTATTTGCATCCTCCCTTAGATTGCCATAGCCACCCGCCACTATACCAGTCTCATGTGTCTGGGTATATTCCAGTGGTGAGCTTAGAAAGACCTCCTCTTAGGAAACAGAACTTGTCTGTGTGTGACTGGTTCTGTGCCGAAAGATTGAGTACATTCCTTATGCATATACAGGAGTTGTTTGTATGATTTTTTTTTTTTTCTTTAACTTCCCATGTGTCTGCTTTTATTTGTAGTTTACCTGAGATGCACTGGTGGTGAGATAGGAGCCACCTCAGCTCTGGCCCCCAAAATCGGACCTCTGGGTTTGGTAAGTTTTCTAGCTTGTTATAGTTGGCTCATCGCATCTTGTGAAATTCTAAAAGCTTGGTGTCTGGGAGGATTTTTTGTTTTGTACTGTGGGGAAGACAAACATTCCTGTAAGGTTTTTATTTGTATGTGACATTGGAGAGATTTTTCTGTCCTCAGGAATTGTGCAGAAAAGCCCAAACGGCAATGAAGTTTTAACACTTCCCCTGCTATGCGAAAAATGTATTGCTTATAATTTCTGTGCTGATGGTACTGTGGAGGTTTCATTCTACATGCCCTTTTCATTTACCAAACAGGGATGTTCAATTTGTATAGCTCGACAGCCAGGACATGTAGTTCCGAGCGCTGGGCAGGTAGCTTTTGTTTACACCTTTTAGCCCTGCTGCGGGCAAGCAGCAGGTTCACCTGTCAGTAGGAAGCATTTGGGCAGCAGCACTGCCACCGATTGCTTCCACACAGAAAATGTATATAGTATAGGGCGCGCTTGTTGGAGCCCAACCTCTGTAGCTGTAAGATAAAGGTGCCAGATGGATATCAGGGATGGATGGATGGGAGCAGTAACACTTGGGCAGCTCTTAGAGTGGGAGCAAGGCTCTAATGCTGTAACAAGAAAGAGAGGAAGGCGCCTCTAAGTGCAGTATTGACAATTTATTCAGTAAACAATGGAAAATTTGCACTTACAAGATAAACGGTTAAAAAGACTCATCGTGTGGTAATTAGATCCAGGTGGGACATTCAGCCGTCCAGCAGCAGACTATGCCTATAGGATCAGGAAGTAGAGACCAGGATGTGCCTGTGCATCAAAAATGAAGCTTGGAGAGCAGAGTCAGATGTAACGGGTGAAGGGGGCAGTAATGCATTTCGGAGCATGCTCAATAGGCTCCTTCAGACCTAAAGAAGGAGCCTATTGAGCATGCTGGACGTCCCACCTGGATCTAATTATCATGATTAGTCTTTTTAACCGTTTATCTTGTAAGTGCAAATTTTCCATTGTTTACTGAATAAATTGTCAATACTGCACTTGACGGCGCCTTCCTCTTTTTCTTGATTGCTTCCACACAGCCCACAGTGCCAGCGTCCTCCACCACCCTTGCGTACCTCCGCCTTGTCCACTATGTTTCTCTGGTTCCGCCTGCTCATTTGCAGGCCCAGGACCAGTTCAAAGGGTGCCAGCGCGTACAGGGAATGGAGGAGAGCGGGCCCATCCACTCCCCTCTTCCTGTCCTGACTCGGAAGTGATGTTATGACTTCGCTGCGAGGTCCTCATTGACAGATTTCCTGGCCATCAATACCGGGTAAGAATGTAATGCCGTGCGAGGAGATAAACTGTGCCGTGTTAAAAATATTAAACATTTAAGTCTCAAAGCCCCTTTTTGTTTTTTTAGAAGCACTTCAGATTTAAATAGTTTTGTTTAACTACTTGTCTACCGGGCACCTAAACCCCCTTCGTGCCCAGGCCAATTTTCAGCTTTCAGCGCTGTTGCATTTTGAATGACAATTGTGTGGTCATACAACATGGTACCCATATGAAATGTTTAATTTTTTTTCACACAAATAGAGCTTTCTTTTGGTGGTATTTAATTGCCACTGTTTATTTTTTGCGCTATACACAAAGAGCAAAAAATTTTAAAGGAGAAAAAATTTCTTTGTTTCTATTCTAAAATTTTGCAAACGGGTAACTTTTCTCCTTCACTGATGTGCATTGATGAGGCGTCACTGCTGAGTGGGTGTCCCTAGGACACGGCGATCACAGAGATCGCCTGGTGCATTCTGCTTGGGGTGCGCAGGAGGGCATGTTCTGGGAGGATGTCATATGATGCCCTCCCAGAACTGGGCAACCGCACGGTAGCCGTCATTCGGCTATAGCCCAGTTGTCAACTGGTTAAAAATGTAATTTTTTTTTTTTTTCCCTTAAATCAGGACTAGCATATTTGTTTTTGTTTTTGTTTTGTTTTTTTAATTTCAACACCCCTGCCAAAGCTGATCCTGCAGTACCTCAGTTTACTTTCTGGTGTGGAGTCTTTGTGATTGTTCGCGTTCCTGCCGCCTTGAGGAGAGATTTTTATTTTTTTTTGCCAGAGTTGGGCTTTACACAAGGCTGATAGATTAACAAACTGCAAGCATATAGTGCCTATATGTCTGGCTGCTATAACATGTCTGTGGATAGCTTTTTATTTGCTGTTTTTGCAAGTAAAGCAAGCCTCACTCTCAAGAATGGTATTAAATATTTTAATATGCTGGAGTATATCTCCTTCCCCCCACCCCATAAACTGTCCATTCACTGTGCATGACAGTTGGGGCTGTGATGACTATTTTGAGTACTGTGGTGTACCACACTTGCATGTGCTAAATAGTTATTGCAGAACTCCAACACTTTTACACATGTTGGAAGAATGCTTGACAAGTCTTAATAGTGTATTATGTATGTGCTGTGCTACATTCATTCAAGTGTTAACATACAGTGTATGCTCTAAATATCTTGTTTTCCCGAGTCATCTTCTAGGACAGCTCACTTGAGAGAGATAGGGCTCCTCCCAGGAAACACCCGCTCCACCTTTTTTCCCCTTTTATAGGCGTCCTCTCTCCCATTGCCCCCAGTTTTTAGTGTTTTCCTCCGGCCAGGAAGGAGCTACGCCCATTTTTTTTGTTTTTATCTGGGCTCTCTGGCGGAGTACAGAGGGTCCCTGGCTGAGGCCCCCCCTTCCTCCAAGCGAGGCAGGGGCCTTGTGAGGGGGGGACCTTTCAGCCAGTTTTCCACTCGGGGAATGCCCGTTGTAGGGTGGGGGCGTCGGCCCCAGATGGTCCCAGCGGGGCTCTCCAGGGGGGTAGAGCCCGCTCCGCCGACCGAGGCATTGGGCCTTTCCCTGCGGGGTTTCAGGTAAGTCTTACCTGCTCCTGGGATCCCGGCAGCATGGCCAGGAGGCTCGGCTGCGGAGGTCTGGACGCTGCGATCGCGTCACTTCCGGGCGCCGGGTGTCGTCACTTCCGGCGCAGGAGCAGGAACGGCCGCCGCCATCTTGGAAATGGGCGGCGGACCGTGGAAGGAACCCGTGCCACGGCCGCTTCTCCACCGGCGGCCGTGAGAGGGAGGTCGGCGAGGGGGGGATCGCAGGGGGGGGGCGGAGCCCACCAGCCCCTGAAAAACCGCCGCACCGAGGCAGAGTCTGCGGCAGCATGGAGGCAGATCTGTCAGGAGCGGGGGAGGCCTGCAGAAAGGTAAGGGCCTTTGGCAACTCTCTCTTTTGTTTTTGCCCCCCCCCTCCTCCCTCCCTCCCCCCCCCCCCCCCCCCCCCTCCCTCCCATCCCCCCCCCCCCCCCCCCCCCCTCCTCCCCTCCCCTCCCGGGATGATTGGGTGCCCCCCACGCACACACAGCAGCCCCCCTCTCCCCCCCCCCCCAGGCCCACGGCTGGAGCTTTCACAGTGGCACAGGGGGGGGGGCGTTGTTTTTTACAGACGCATGAACGCATGTATCTCCTTGTCCCCAGATGGGCCCACAGGAGGAGGATAGAGGGGAGAAAGAAGCTCCTTGTGAGCAGAAAAAGAAGTGTGCCACTTGTAGGAAGAAGCTGGCGAGCTCCTGGAGGAAGCAGCTCTGCCAGGGGTGCATAGACAAGCTCATCAAGAAGGAGTCTGGATCTTTTTTTTAAAGATTTCCTACAAAATATGACACAGGAAATGTCCAAGACATTTCAAAGCTTCAGGGAACAGAGGCCGGGGCCGGCCCAGGATGAGCCCCAACCGGGCACTTCTGGCACCCAAGGGGGGAAAAAGAGGAAGCTGGACAAGGTAGCGCCGGTAAGGGACTGGGAAGAGGCCGAACAGTCGGACACCTCAGACTCGGAGGAGGGTGAGATTGAGGCTCAGGGCCCAAAGGCAGACAGGTTCCTTTTTCAGGTGGAAGACACGGAGGACCTGTTAAAGGTGATCTATGAGACCCTGGATCTGGAGGAGGAACAACAGGACCTCTCTCTCCCACGACCAACTGTACGCAGGGCTACAGGCAAAAAGCAGCCGTACATTCCCAGTACACCCTGCCCTGTGGTCCACGATCAGGAGGGAATGGGAAGAGCCAGAGAGGAAAGCTTTCCTTCCCAAGAACCTCAAGAGACGTTTCCCCTTTAAGGAGGAAGATGCCTCGGTTTGGGAGACTTGCCCAAAGCCAGACGCCCCTCTCTCGAGGATCTCGAAGGACACGGATCTGTCCTTTGAAGACGGTGGGGTCCCTAAAGGACCCAATGGATCGGAAAGCAGATGCTTTCCTGAGAGGGCATGGGAAGCATCCGCAGTAAATTTTAAGCCTGCAGTGGCAACAACCTGCGTGTCCAGAACCCTGGATGTGTGGTTGGGGCAGCTCCGTTCGCATCTGGAACAAGGCACCCCGGGGGAGGAGATTCTGAAGTCCCTTCGGTGCTGGAGAAAGCGGTGGCCTTCATCGCGGACGCATCAGCAGAGACCATCAGACTCTCTGCTAGATCTACAGCGCTCATAAACTCGGCGCGGAGGGCTATCTGGCTGAAATCTTGGCAGGGTGGGATCTGGCCTCCAAGTCTAAACTCTGTGGCCTGCCGTTTGAAGGAAAACTCCTTTTCGGCCCGGAGCTGAATTCAGTCCTGGAAAGGTCGGCAGACAGGAAAAAGAGCTTCCCGGTCCCCAGCAGGCAGGTCGGACGGAAGGGGTTTCGCCCATCCAGGCGATACACGTCAAGGGAAGCTAGGTTCCAAACCCAGCGCCCAGGCTGGGGCGCGAGAAGAGGCAGGAACGAGCCGAGAGGCAGGGGAGGTTTCCTTTTTCAACCCCAGCCAGAATAGACCCAAAACCCAGCAGAAGTGACTGGAGAGGCCAGGTGGGAGCGAGGCTGGGGCGCTTCCACGCACAATGGCTAAGGATAACCCAGAACACCTACATTCTGGAGGCCATCCACAGGGGGTACAGAGAGTTCACAAGGGCCCCCCCTCAGAGATTCTTTGCAACACCCCTGCCAAAGGACAGGGCCATGGCGGATGCGTTGGTGGACCTCCTACAAGATATGCTCAGTCAGAATGTTATCTGCCAGTTGAGAGAAGAGGAAAGGGGAAGTGGATTCTTTCTCCCATTTCTTCCTAAGGGAAAAAACCGTCAGGTGCTTACAGGATGATATTGAATCTGCGGAAGGTGAACGAGTTCGTGAGGCCCAGCAAATTCCGTATGGAGTCCATATACACGGTGAAGGATCTCCCTTTCACCTGGGGTGTTCATGGCCTCGATAGATCTGCAAGATGCATACCTGCATGTCCCGATAAGAGAAGACTCCAGGAGATTCCTGAGGTTTGCGCTGGAAGGCGAAATGGGTCCGGTGCTATTTCAGTTCAACACACTCCCCTTCGGCCTGTCGTCGGCCCCGAGGATCTTCACCAAGATTCTAGCGGAGCCTTTAAGAGTTTTGAGACTGGAAGGGATAAAACATCATCCCCTATTTGGACGACCTGCTTTTATTTGCGGGCACAGAAGGTGGCCTGAGAACGCACATCGAACGTACGATATCTTTTCTGGAAAGTTTGGGGTGGCTTATCAACAAGGAGAAGTCGCAGCTAACCCCCTCCAAGAGGATTACGTACTTTTGGGTACGTCCTGGACTCCGCACAGGCCCGGTCATACCTCACATCAGAAAAAGCCCTCAACCTGCGGCAGGACACAAAGGCCCTCAGGAGGATGTCGACCTGCACGGTCAGGACCGCGATGAGAATAATCGGGCGGATGACAGCGGCAATACCAGGGGTGCAATGGGCGCAACTTCACTCCAGGGTTCTGCAAAATCACACCCTTTCCCACTGGGACGGCAGCCGAGCAGGTCTGAATTCCAGGATCCGCATCACGCAGGAAGTGAAGGAGTCGCTAAAGTGGTGGGGAAGCACTCTCACTTTGGAACGGGGAAGAAGTTGGAGGCTGGCCAGCCCAGTGCGGATCACCACGGATGCAAGCATGACTGGTTGGGGTGCCCATATGGAAGACGGCCTCGCCCAGGGCACGTGGGGTGCAGTGGACTCCAGCAGGTCGTCAAATTACAGGGAGCTGTTGGCAGTTTTCAAGGCACTTACGACCTTTCAGGAAAAGATAAGGGGGAGAGGTGTCCAGGTTCTCTCCGACAATACCACTGCAGTGGCATATTTGAACAGGCAGGGAGGCACAAGGTCCCCAAGGCTGATGGAGTTGGCCGGATCCCTCCTGAGCTGGGCGGAGGAAAACCTGGAGTTCATCACGGCAGTACATCTGAAAGGGGACCTGAACCAATTGGCGGATCAGCTGAGCCGAAGAGAGGTCAGCCAGACAGAATGGTGCCTCAGCCAGTCAGCGTTCGATCAGATTTGCGCCAGGTGGGGCTCCCCCTCTCTATCGATCTATTTGCCAACGGCCAGAACACAAAGCGGGAAAGGTACTTCTGCCTGCAGAGGGACCCCAAAAGCGAGGGGATAGATGCGCTAGCCCAGCAGTGGGAAGGAGACCTCCTTTATGCCTTCCCTCCATTCAGACTACTGCCGCAGGTGATACAGAAGATCCAGTTGTCTCAAACCACAGTTGTTCTGATCGCACCATTCTGGCCCAAGAGATCTTGGTTCTCCGGTTGAAGGAGCTCAGTTTAGCGGACCCTTGGATGATGCCCCCACACGCGATTTACTCACCCAGGGGAGGGTGATGCATCCTCATCCAGAAAGGCTGTCCTTAGCGGCGTGGCTTCTGAGCGGGACCGGCTAGCGGAAATGGGGCTGTCGGCAAGAGTGGTCGCCACCCTCTTGGAGGGCCGGAAGAGGTCGACGAACGCCTTGTACGACAAGGTCTGGAAGAAAGTTTTCCGCCTGGAAGGTCAGAAACGCAGCACCGGGCACGCCCATTTTGCATGCCGTTCTTGAATTCCTTCAAGCCGGTGCGGATAAGAATCTGGCCGCCAATACCCTCAAAGTACAGGTAGCGGCTCTGTCGAACTTTCTCGAGCTGAGGTTGGCGGCAGACCCCTTGGTAATCAGATTCCTGAAGGCTATCTCCAGGCGCCGTGCCCCGTCCTTGCCAAAACTGCCAACATGGACCTGGGCACAGTCCTGAAGAGCTTTCAGCGGGGGCCCTTCGAACCGCTGGATGAGTGTTCGCTCAGGTTTTTTGACGCTTAAAACCATCCTCCTCACGGCACTAGTTTCTGCCCGCAGGGTCAGCGAGTTGCATGCCCTTTCAGTGATCGAGCCGTACTGCACCATCTTCTTGGATAGGATCATCCTCCGCACGGACGCGGCCTTCCTACCTAAGGTCGCGTCACACTTCCATAGATCTCAGGAAATAGTAATACCTTCCCTGGAGGCCGATCCGGGCAGCACGGAAGACTATAGCAGGTTAGACGTTCGAACGGTGTTTGATCACGTACATCGAACGCACGAAGACATGGAGACACTCGTCCCGGCTTTTCGTCCTATTCCAGGGGCCAAGGAAGGGGGACGGTGCCTCCAAGGGCACCATCGCCAGATGGATCAGGGAGGCAGTTTCGGAAGGTTACAAGTCGGCAGGCCTGTCACCACCGCCCGGCCTAAAAGCCCACTCCACGAGGGCCACTGCGGCCTCCTGGGCGGAAAAAGGGGGGGCCTCCCCCGGACAGATCTGCAGAGCCGCAACGTGGTCCAGTTTCGCCACCTTCACTAAGCATTACAGGCTGGATCTGATCGGCAGCAAGGACCAGGCATTTGGCAGGAAGGTCCTACAAGCAGGGTGCCCGCCCTAATGTACGTATTTTCTATTCTACTCCTCTCAAGTGAGCTGTCCTAGAAGATGACTCGGGAAAACGCAGTTATTTACCTGTTAACTGTATTTCCAGGAATCTTCTAGGACAGCGTAACTCCCCCCCGATTACTGTTTGATCACACAATTATGTGCAGGTATGTTGCGAACCTATGGGGGATGTCTTTATTACCGGTTTTCTTCTTTGTTTTCTCCTAGGCCTTCGGTCATATTCTTATACTGGGGGCAATGGGAGAGAGGACGCCTATAAAAGGGGAAAAAAGGTGGAGCGGGGGTGTTTCCTGGAGGAGCCCTATCTCTCTCAAGTGAGCTGTCCTAGAAGATTCCTGGAAATACAGTTAACAGGTAAATAACTGCGTTTTTTCTTAGTATAGGAAAATTTTTAAGGCAGTTGGGCTGTTTTTTGTTTTTAAATTTCCTTTTTCTTTTCTTTCAGTCTCCCAAAAAAGTTGGTGATGACATTGCCAAGGCAACCGGTGACTGGAAAGGCTTGAGGATCACTGTCAAACTGACCATCCAGAACAGACAGGCCCAGGTAATCTTTCAGACTGCCACTCTTCGATGGTTTGGTGTGTTGCTTTTTAAACTGCTTCTGAATTTTCCACTAACATCTACAACTTCTTACATTCGTTTGAGAGACTGACCAGGTGTGCATTTTGCAGGCTTTCAAGAAGGGAATTTTTAAGGATAGCTTTATGGCAGAAGCCTATTACTTGCTTGATTTTGAAGCTGCAGACCCAAGGAACATCATTTTTGATCTAGGTCAGTGACTTCTATTTTAGGTAGTGCTGAAGAAACAAATGTGAAATAGTAGGGCACATGAAGTGCATGACTGCATGCCGGTTCTAGGTTGGTGTTTTTTGTGAGGCAGCCCTGGGTGCCTGTCATCTTCAAAATCAATCAGAACCATAACTTTGGTTTCTTGTAAGTGCTGTCCTTTCTTCAAATTTAGCACTTGCAAATACTATAGGTCAGTCTGTTTTGCTTTTTGAGGTAAATAATCATACTGCAATTGTCATGCCAGAAAGCAATTATCAGCTGCCAAAAAAGCCAGGATTTTTTTTCTTGGGGTGGAAAAAGTTGGGGTCACATCTAGGCCTCAGGACTGTAGGTTAGTTTGATTACCTGATCTAGTAGGAAATAGTTGAGCGTCCTCAGTAGAGCATAAGTAATGCAAACGCTATGGTTTGAAGATCTGACCTCAGTAATGAGGTTGGTTGGTGTGGGTTACATTTCACTGCTTTAGTGAACAGTTAGTTAAGCTGTGCATTCTAACCTAAAGACAATAAAATACTCTTCAGATTTTACTCTTCGAACAGGATTGTGTAAATGGGACTAGTAGGGAAGTCTGGGCTTGTTTGTGTGAAGTAACATTTAAAAGCTTAATTGGTATTGGTGGCATTTTAGAGTAACTTGCAAGGTTAAAAAAGGAAAGGGCTGCCTTTGGTGACCACCTCCCTGAAATCTTTAGTTGCCTGGCTTTGTCTGGCTCCAGCTGTTCACAAATCACTGGCTCAGGACAGGTGCAGTCAGTACTCCTGATGTTTGTTCTTGGTCAGTGAAAATGACTAAAGCTGCAAGCAGCTAGGAACACTGGTATACTGTTTAGAGAATTCAGTAACCACTTAAATGCCCTGTAAAAGCCACCCGCCACTATGCTGGTCTGACTGTGACCTAGTGTATTCCAGTGGTGAGCTGAGAGCAAACCCCATCTTAGGAAACAGGGTCTTTCTTCATGTGACTGATCCTGTGCCGATAGACTGGAGACAGGCCTGTACTGATTGAAGAGCAGTTGTCAACAAAGACGCTGACTGTGTGGGGTAAGGAAACTGACTTTGTTTTTCTTTCACAGATTGAGGTTGTGCCATCCGCCTCTGCTCTGATCATCAAGGCCCTGAAGGAGCCTCCACGTGACAGGAAGAAGCAGAAGAACAGTAAGTGTCAACAGGCGTGTGTGTGTGTGTTAAGCAGCCCTAAAGCCAGTCGGTATGCCAGCCAGCCAAACAGCCTTTCTAGAAGAATTTTTTGTATTTCTCCCCCTTGGCACATTGTTGTAAAATTGGTTATTTGCACATTCCTTTGAGTCTCATCTCATTAGCCAACACCGTACCTGTTCACAGTCCACTTAATCGTTGGGTTTTCTTTTTGCCCCAGCCACCCGCCACTATACCATTCTGATGTGACTGGTTATATTCCAGTGGTGTGCTTAGATCACCCTCCATCTTAGGAAACAGGCTCACTCTACCAATGAGTGACTCTGTGCCGAAAGTTTGGAGACAGTTGTATGCACAGTTGCTTTTACTCTGCTTATCACTAGCTGTTGTATGTGTTCTTAAGGTCTGTCTATCTAATTCCACAGTTAAACACAGTGGAAGCATCACTTTTGATGAAGTTGTCAGCATTGCTCGTCAGATGAGGCATCGTTCCCTGGCCAGAGAACTATCTGGTAAGTATGAATGCCAAAACTGCCCAATGGGTGCTATGACTACCTGTAGCCGAAACTTTAATGGGCAGCTCTGCAAACATGCCCCACTAATCATGCAAAAGTTGATTATACCTCCTTATTTCAGGTACCATCAAGGAGATCCTGGGCACAGCTCAGTCTGTGGGCTGCAATATTGATGGCAGACTCCCACATGATATAATTGATGATATTAACAGTGGCGACATTGAATGCCCAGCGGTAAGTTTCGCTTCACTTGTTTGGCGTTTGCTGAGCTTTGTGTACTTTTTTATTTATATTTTTTTAATTTTTTTTTTCCCCTCTAATCATTTTTTTTTTTTTTTTTCTTTGCAGAGCTAAATCTCTGAAGAGCCTTTATATTTAATAAAAAAAAATGCTCTAAAAGATGGTCTCTTGTATTCTTGCAGTCATAAGTGTTTGTGGGGTGTCTTTTCCTTATAAAATTGACAGATGTCTGTTAGACTTTAATACAAAGAAATTATGCAGCATATGAAGCAGTACAATGAGAGCTTAAGTACAGGTTCTGCCACCAAAAATGTTCTAATGTCCCTACCACTCGAAGCCATAACAAAAATAGAATGTGACCTGATGCACCCAGTGATGTGCCTCCATCCCTTAATATCCATACAACCAATTTTATTTGTCCTGGGACTTTAAATGAGCCACAACAAACGAAATAACTAGTTTTCAACTTTCATTTTTCATAAATGAACTTTTCATTGCTTGCAAAAAGGATAAAATGGTAATAAATCCATATCAATGCATTTCATGCATAATTGGATATACAATTGACCGTATACAAAGATGTCAATTTAAAATTGCATCCATAATGCGTTTTGTGACTTCACTTCCTCAGCAGTAGATGCATGTAAAATATCTGCAAGGCAAAACATAAATTGTATAACAACCTAGTGGCATATTGTATGCAATATAATGTAGTTCCCATCTCAAGGGTCACCAGAGGGACCCTAATACTTACAAATCAGCTAAAAATACATACAGTATTTCCAAATCCTCGGAGTCTCACCCAGGAGCTGTGGAAGTATGACTCCAAGAACCTAAGGGGACAAGCTAGAAGCAGATTCAAAGTAGGTGGGCAATTGTGATGGCACCCAAAATAATTACTATGAAAAGAAATTTGGATATACAATACAGTAATGAATGATAAAATCAAGATGAGTGATAAAAATAACATATAATGCAGGCTGCAATAGAACAGTGAGAAGACGAGGTGTAAGATACTGCACCTAGTGTTGGAAGAGATGGAAAGACATCTAGGTCTCAAAGTCTAGTCCACAGAAAAATGTGCCATTTAAAGAGAGACCACCAAATGTAAAGACAAAATATAGGCAGCCAAAGCATGAACCACCATGGATAAGAAGCTCTCAATCTATTATACAGGATTTGTATAGCACCAACAGTTTGTGCAGCGCTTTAGAAAATGAAGGTAGACATAAGTTACAATTTTTGGTACAAGAGGAAACGGAGGGCCCTGCTCGTGAGAGCTTACAATCTAGGAGGAAGGGTTGAGTGATATAAAAGGTAATAGCTGTGGGGGGATGAGCTGATGGAGTAAATAAAAGGCAGTTTACTAGTTAGAAGCAGGATAGGCTAAAGAGAACAGATTTTAGGGATAGTCTAAAGGTGAATAGATTAGGAGTTGGACAGACTGGGGTAGGGAGTTCCATAAGATGGGAGAAGGTGACACGGGAAATAGCAGAAAGTCTTGGGAGGATCGAAGAGAGCGGTTTGGTAGATACTGAGACCAGGTTAATGATGCAGCTGGGAGCAGAGTTGTGGATGGCTTTGTAAGTTGTTAGTATTTTGAATTTTATTCGTTGAGGGATTAGCAGAGAGGGGTAGCAGACACTGAACTGTTGGTTAGGTGGATGATCCTGGCAGCAGTATTCATGATGGACTGGAGGGGGGATAGCCTATGTAAAGGTAAGCCATTGAGGATAGAGTTACAGTAGTCGAGGCGAGAGATAACCAGGGAGTGAATTAGGAGCTTTGTGGTATCATTGGTTAAAAGGGCGTATTCTGGGGATGTTGCGGAAGTTGAGATGGGCAAGATTCGCACCAACAGAGTACAGTCACAGAGACCAAGTAAATAGATTTTTGAGGAGGGGGTGGTCAACTGTGTCAAAGGCAGCGGAGAAATCCAAGAGTAAAAGTACAGAATAATGACCATTTTAGCGGTTGGCAAGTAGTTTGTGCATTTTAGGAGAGCAGTTTCTGTGGAGTGCTGTGGGTGAAATCCAGACTGAGGGGGATCGAGAAGGTTATTCTCAATAAGGTGGCAGCTCAGCTGGTTGTAAACTAGACTATCAAGGAGTTTGGAGGCAAAAGGGAGTAAGGAGATGGGTCTTAGGTTGCTAAGATTGGTGGGGTCCAGTGAGGCCTTAAGCATGGGGGTGACTAGCGCATGTTTTAGAGAGTTGGGGAAAATGCCAGTAGAAAGGGAGAGATTGAAAATATGAGTTAGAGTGAAGGATAGAGCCAAAGTGTGACTGTAGTATCTGCGAGGGGACAGGTGGGCTTTAGAGAAAAATTTACCAACTTCCTCTATAGTAGCTGGGTTAAACAAGAAGTATAGATTGTGCAGGTAGACAAGGAGTGTAGGGTGAGGGAGATCTATACAGTGGAGATCTCGTCACGAATTGTATCAATTTTATTTTTGAATTGATTGGCAATCTCCTGGGCAGCAAGTGAGTTAGTGGGTGGAGGTAAAGGATGAAGCAGAGCGTTAAAGGTAGAAAAGAGAGTTGACTGGGATTGTGTGAAATAAGTCTGTTTGGCAGTGTGGAGACAAGTTGCATTTTTGAAGGGCAGATTTATATTTGTCGAAGTCTTGCTGAGTCTTAGTCTTATGCCATAAACGCTCCAGAGCATGGCTACATTTTTTTGAGGCATCTGGTCTTGTCTGTTTGCCAGGGCTGTAACAGGGCCTAATTCTGTGTGTAGTGAGGGGGCCAATGTGTCCACGGTGGATGACAGAACTATTGTATACCGATGTGGCCAGGTTGGGGCAGGACAGGGCCAAGATGTCATAGAGAATGAGTCACACTAAACAACAAACATGGAATGCAGCACTAGCAATGCTGCAGGGTACACATGCAAACAAATATCCTTGAAAGACATAACCTACCTGTACTTGTGTTTGCCTGCATAAGATGTGCATTGTTCATGTAGTTTCATGCTTTGTACAGTCTATTGTGCTATAAATCTCCATATTCACTGCAGAGGTGATCAAATACCACCAAAAAGCCCTATTCATGGGGTAAATACATTTAATTTGGTTACAGCATTGCATGAGCACGCTTGTCAGTTGAAGTAACAGTGCCATATTGCAAAACATGGCCTGATCATGAAAAGGTAAATCTTCCAGAGGGTAAGTTAAAATGACACTCTTGAAAATGTACAAGGGCTTTAACTATTTCCTTGTTGCAACATGTGCAGTTATTATTATACAGTATTTATAAAGCGCCAATAGTTTGCTCAGCGCTGTACATTACAAAGGGTGACAGAACAACAATAATACAATGCAAAACATGAGGGGATCGAGGGCCCTGCTCTTTCGAGCTTACAATCTAGGAGGGAGGGGATTGTGGCACAGGAGGAGATAGCTGTGGGGGATGGGGTGGTAGGAAGAGTGGAGGAGGTTGGCAAGTTAGCAGGGGGTGGGGTAGGCTTCCCTGAAGAGGTGGGTTTTCAGGGTGCACCTAAAGGAGAGGAGAGTAGCTGACAATCTGATGGGTTGGGGCAGGCAGTTCCAGAGGATGGGTGACACCCTGGAGGTGGGCATAGGAGGAGGAGACCAGGGAACTAGAGAGGTCTTGTGAGGAGCAGAGTGTGCATGCTGGGTGGTACTTGGATATTAGGTCAGTGATGTAGTTCAGGGTAGTATGGTGGATTGCTTTGTATGTCAGTGTTAGGATTTTGAATTTGATCCGTTGCGCAATCAAAAGCCAGTGGAGGGATTGGCAGAGGGGGATGGCGGAAATGGAGCGGTTGGAAAGGTGAATGAGTCTGGCAGCCGTATTCAGGATCGACTGAAGCGGGGATAGCCAGCGGCGAGGCAGGCCAGTAAGGAGGGAGTTGCAGTAATCGAGTCGTGATATGATGGAGTGGATGAGCTGTTTAGTGGTTTCTGGGGTTAGGAACGTGCGTATTTTGGCGACGTTGCGGAGGTGGAGTCTGCACGAGCTTGTTAAAGATTGGACGGGGCTGGAAGGATAGGTTGGAGTCCAGAATGACACCAAGTACTCTGGCCTGTGGGGCGGGTTTGATGGTGGTGGTGTTGGATGTGATGCAGATGTCAATGGGGGGGTGGTGTCCGGGTTGGGGGGAAGACAAACTGTTTTGGAGAGGTTCAGTTTAAGGAAGTGGAGCGACATCCAGTCTGTCGCTCAGTAGGTGTGTGATTCGAGCGGAGACTGAGGGGGTGAGGGTGGGGGGTTGGGAGATTTTGTGTGTCGTCGGCACATAGGTGGTAGTTGAAGCCGTGAGAGTGAATGACTTGGCCAAGGGAGGAGGTGTAGATGGAGAAGAGAAGGGGCCCGAGGACAGAGCCTTGAGGGACCCCAACAGAGAGGGGGAGGTGGTAGCGTTATAGGGAACGCTGAAAGAGTGTTGTGACAGGTAGGATGAGAGCCAGGAGAGAGCAGAATCTCTGTGGCCAAGGGAGTGTCGTTTTTTTGAGGAGGAGGGGGTGGTCGTCTGTGTTGAAGGCTGCAGAGAGGTCAAGGAGTAGCAGCACTGAATAGTGGCCATTAGCTTTGGCGGTTAGGTCGTTGGAGAGTTTAAGTAGGGCAGTTTCAGGGGAGTGTAGGGGATCGAGGAGGTTGTTGTCGTTGAGGTGAGAGCTTAGGCGGGTGTAGACTAGGTCCTCAAGGAGTTTGGATGGGAGCAGGGAGATGGGTCTGAGGTTGTTCGGGTCATTGGGGTCCAGGGAGGGCTTTTTAAGTATGGGAGTTGTGTGCATGTTCAGAGGGGAGGGGAAAGTGCCGGAGGATCGAGGGAGAGATTAAAGATGTGGGTGAGCGTAGGATGGAGGGGGAGGGAGGTCGTAGGAGTTGAGGGGATAGGGTCGAGGGGGCAGGTGCTGAGGTGGGCATCAGAGAGGATCTTGGAGATTTCCTCGATGGTAGTAAGGTCAAAGGTGCGGAGTGTTGGGGGGGCTTCAGTATGAAGTTAAGTAATTTGCATTCTTGCTCTGCAGCATTGGGGTCTTGGATGCACTTCTCACCAGGCACCTTTCTGCTGACACTACTCTGCTTTCCTTACAGGATCCAAAAACTAATCTGCCTACAATGGTAAAAGTGTGCTTACGTCTGTAA